CAACAATGTTCTGTATTATGCCTTATTTATTTTGGGTGAAATTCACAGATAGCACTAAGCCCTCTGCACTAGTTAAGCCCCACATAGGGCTGCACAGGGAAATGCAGGTGAAGCCCCCTACACACAAAGCAAAGAGTCTCCACATCATCATCATCCCCACAAAGACTAACACAAAAGCCATAATGATGCAGGATAAAGAAGAGGCCATTGGTTTGTGTTTTGATAGATCCAGTGGCTCTCAATATCCATGCAACTAGCTTGGTGGAGCTGCAGCTGATACGCGAATCCACAGCAGCTATGGGAAAGGGTGGATTTCACCTCCTCATCTTCTCCACGCTCCACCTGCATAAAGCCTGAATGGTCAGCCTTTATGCTGGTGTAGTAAGCCCCATTAGAAGATGACGTGATAAAAAGTGTACAAAATAATGAAGATAGAATGTGATCTTCTATTTATCTTCTTGTGTCATAAGACAAGAACAAAAAGACATGCAGTGAAAATGAAGGGGGAGCAAATTCAAAACCAACAAAAGGAAACACTTTTCCACAAAATGGGTAATTAGACTGTTGACCTGACTGCCACAATACATCATGGAGGCCAAGACTGTAGTAGGATTTTAGAAAAGGAATTAGACATTTAGGGTATGTCTGTACTGGAATTAAAACCCCGCAGCTGACTCATAGCAGCTGACTCAGGCTCGTGGGGCTGAGGCTAAGGTGCTGTTCAATTTCAGTGTAGATGTTCAGTATTGGGCTGGAGCCCAAACTCTGGGGCTCCCCCACTTTGTGGGGTCCCAGAGCCCAAACACCTACACCACAATTAAAACAGCCCCTTAAGCTCAAGCCCTGCGAGCCAAAGTCAGCTGGCAAGGGCCAACGTTGAGTGTTTAGCTGCAGTGTAGGCATACCCTTATTTGGCTAACAAGAGTAACTCCTGCCCCCCAATCAAACAAAAATAACAAACCCGCCAAGACTTTTGGAAGGGGTAACCCCCTCATATTTAAGGGCATAAAGCACCCACTATAGGGTTAGGAGGAACCTTCCTTGGAGTCAGGTTATCCCTAAAACAGCTGGTGTGGTCCACTTTTGGAGACTGGAGACAGGACTGGACAGTGGTCTGATCCAGTCTGGCAATTCCTATGTTCCATTGTAATGAGTGGAACTCTATGCTAGCAGTGCTAATTAGAAATAGCTACTGTCAGGGCAGGTCCTGGGAATTTATTTATTATTATTACCATCTCTGCAGTATGTGGATCCTGCCTTGAGTGAATTCCACTATATGCATCCCAGTCCACTGTTCTCTCCCCCACTTTTTTTAATAAACAAATGGTCTGTCATTGCAGCATTTTTGCACTGAATTTATTTTTAATTAATAAACAAATGCTGATCTGACTTATCTCTTTCATGCTTTTTCTTCCTTCTCTTTCTCCATTGTCTTCACTCCATCTTTTATACTATTTATCTTGGTGTTTCTTCTCTGGATCATTTCTTCCATACTTATTTTTCTATATTGTACAATAATTGTTCCATGTCCTGCTATCACACTCTTCTTCTGTTGTGTATACTGCCCTTCAATCTCACCCATTGTCCTGCCCTCCTTTCTTTTCTCTTCTTCCTCAGTCTCTTCTCTCCTCTTCCTACTCTCTCCCCATTTTCTCCCCCATCACTAACTCTCTTCCCCTAGTACCTCTCTCTTCTTTCCTGTCTGTCACACTCACAACCCACTCACAAGTTTGTGAAATTACACCAGGGCAGAATGGTTCCATTGTTTGTGTCTGCTTCTGTGCACTCACACAGATTGTACTGCATAGGGTCACATCTAGTAGGTGTTCTTCTGAACCAGAAGAATTAAAAATTCATTTTTCTTTTAAATGAAAGCCAAGATACTGCAAATCCTGATGGGATCACCCAAAATATGCTGGTATATTTATGCTCAATCCAGCTTCTGTCCAAATGAGATCCTCCAATTATGGTTAAAGAGGAATAGAAAAGTGAATTGTTAATTCTGGGTAGTCAGCAGGTAGAAGGATTAGACATAATGAAAGAAAAGGTTAGCTAAGGAAAAAGTAAAAAGTTCCTAGCCCATGCTAATGTCCCTATTGCTCCAGATGGCATAGGAGAATTCTGGTAAAAGGGAGTATGCCATGCTCTAGAGATCCTCGCTCATGTAATGTCCATACGAAGGGACCATTACAAACTGGCACAATTAAAGCAGCCCTTGGGCTGTTCCAATTTGAGCTGTGGTGCAAGAGCAGTCCCAGGATGAGGAGGTTAGGGTGGAAAGGTTGCTTAGAGTCACATTTGTCTCTCCCATGCCAGGCATGATAAACTCAGATTCAGTGAAGCTGAGCATTTAGCCCACTCTCTAAAGAAACTGAAATCAGCTGAACTAGATGCAAGACTTCCATCCATTCTAGCTGAAAAGAAAAGTGATATGTGTTCTGTTGAGAGTGACTAAGGAGTTAAAAAAATACAATAGTGTTACTATTCACACTTACAAGGATGACCAGGAATCAGTCATCTACCTGACCCTCCCTTTGTGGGAGACAACAGCCTGGATTATGCTTGTTTCAGGAAAGGTGTTAGTTACAAATATTGTAGTGGGGATTTCAACTCCAGCCTCTCTCTGCTTCAATGTCCCATGAAAGGGAAAAAAATATTTTTACCTCTGACCTGAAAATTCACAAATCAAACGCCCTGGATTGAGCCAGCAAGAGTGAGACACATTTGTTTAATAACCCTAATCTTGTGGTGATAATTTAACACTGGTTCATGTGGTAAATAAGGATTCTTCTTCATTATCAATATTCACTTCAGTGAGTTAAAAAGCAAAATGACAAATGACAAAAAAAAAATTGCACAAACAGGTGATTTTTGAAAACACAAGCTGGGGCTATCAAAATAAACCCCTTTGCTACTAAGATAGATGGTGTTTATTTTGTTTTTTCAACTAACTCGTAACTACCACCAGCTTTGTTACTCCATTGACCATATTAAGATGCAAATCATGTATTTACAATGTATCAAGTTATATGGGAGAATTTAATATTACTGTTCACAATAAACTGCCGTGATTAAACTTTGATTCAACTCCCAAGCTTCAGCATTAGGCTCCCATGAATAATTCCAAGAATAATAGGGTGGTAAAGCAATACCAGCATGTTTATAAAGAAAGCGTTAGTTCAATCGTTACTCCCTGTCCTGTAGGAAAACGGAATAATAATCTAAGTACTGAATATATATTTAGGATGAACACACACCTACGACTTACTATGCTATAATTCCTTCAAGGGGTAATGAGATGGACAAGAGGACATTAGGGCATTAGCACAGGACTTAGGAGTTCAAGTCCCTGATCCATCACAGACTTCCTGTGTGACCATGGGCAAGTCACGTAGCCTCTCTGTGCCTCAGTGCCCCATCCATACAATGGAGATAATAGCACTGCCTACCTCACAGGGGTATTGCGAGGATAAATATCATAAAAGCTGTGAAGACACTCAGACACAATGGTAATGGGTTCCATTTAAATACCTTAAATAGAAACCTTACACCCCAAGAACTGTACATGATTTCACCAGCAGACTAATTCAAATGACTGTCCTGTAATTCCACATTTTTCTATTTTAATTTTATTTCATAGACTTAATATTTAAAAACAACATCAACAAGCAACTTTCCCTCTCCCTGTTCTGTGCACTCCCATTCCTCCTAAACTCTGCTGAAGTGGATCCCCTTGAAATGCACCCCTTGTGGTGGTATTTGAAGTGCCATCCACAAGAACGAGACACGTTTTTTCTAATTGAATGAGTTGTATGGTTCATACATGCATTCACAGATGGGAGGACACAGCAGTGAACTATTTGTGAAACTTTTTACATGTGATAACTCATATTTTATTAACACAAGAGTCTGATGTATTAAATGGTCAGGAAAGATAAAGGGAAATCTGACCAACAGAGTTGCCAACTCTGGTGATTTTATCATGAGTCTCAAGATATTTTATGTTTTTCTTAAAGCCCTGCCTCCTAAATCTGGGTGATTATGTGAAAATCTCATTTTTTACTTTTTAGAAAGGAGAACATTCTAGTCCTTATAATTACAAAGTAAAGCTTGAAGATGTGGACCTTAATTTCTCAAACCCAGCAGGCAAATAAAAAGATCCCAAATTTACTATTTTTTAAATCTCATTACTTTTGACACATGGGATTGAGAATACTGGACTCTGGTTCCATAGCCTCAAAATAAGCTCCCAGGTTAAAGCTCGTTGGCCACTTCCCAAAAATACACCAGATATTGCAAGCAACAAGGACAAAACTGAGAGGGGAAAGAAATTAAAGATATATTTCTGCTTAAAAGGTGTTTCAATTAATTTCAATTAAACTGATTTCAATTAATTAAAAATATCTTAAAGGGGCTAGAGGCTTCAGGATCCAAAACCTCCATACTTGCTGAAACTGCCACGTTCACTTTACTCAAGACACTGCACTGGCTGCATTTGAAGTCGCAGCCTCTCGCAGAATAAAAGTTGTTACTAGAGATGGGCTGAACCAGCACCAATGCCTCTGAACGCTGGCGGTGGGAGGGTGGGTCCAAATTCTGGATTCATATTTACATTTCATGGTTTAGGCCCATCTTTCATTCTACCACAGTGAGTGAACTTAGATTGTCTAAGTGATTGTTGCAGCTCCTTTATCTAAATCATTGTGAACCAGTGTGTTTTGACTGAACAAAATAATTGAAGTAGAAGCTTTGGAGAAGGGGTTGTTTTTTATAAAACAGAAATTAAATATTTCTATGAAATTTATTCCATTTATTATAAGAAAGTCAGTGGAAATCACTTCTGCTGTTAAAATGCTTTGAGAGCCACCAATTTGCATTACAAAAGCCATCTCCCTTTTTTTTTTTTTTTTTTGGGTTGTTTTACTGCTGTGTAAAGATACTTTTTGTTTCTCAGTTAACTAAACAGCTGAGCAGCTGACTAAACCATTTTCTCTACTCACCATCCTCGTTGCTAGGGGCATCTCCTGTTCCAAGCAGGGTGTCTGATCTGGATTCTGGCTCTATATCTCCCTTAGGGATTGATAAATCAGCCAGTGCAAATCCAGATTTGCCAGATACAGGGACAGCAGCTTTCAGTTCCCAGCTTCCAGACACAGCATCCATCAAAGGATAGTTAATACACTCAAATCCACTGTGAAAGAAAATAGGGTTGACATTTTATTTTGTTTGTGCTGATAGGTTTTAAGATTTTAATAAAATAATCCAGATATAATATGGAATTTACCATCAGGGCCATAAAATATCCAGTGAATGAAAGTTACAGCTGTGTATACATATTGTGATATATATAACATACAGTACGGAGAAACTAGCTGATCTCCCATAATATTAGTCTATCTGATTTGGTCAGCAAACAGTGTAGCCCTAAACCTTTGTCCATCAAGTTTATTTGGGTTACTTATCTCGTGTCTGTCAGGTCCAGGTGAACTGGTACACAAAGTCACAATGATGACCTGTCCTGATAATCATCATAAAAGGATTGAAACTGAGCAGTTTGAAAGAGAATTTTTACTGTGGATTACATTTCATGTGGTAGAGTGCTGCTGAGAGTAAGGACTTTTAATTGTTTAGTTGATAAAAGATATTGAGCAATATTTTCACCTCTGGTCAGCCATTTCCTTTGAAGGAGAAAAGAGAAATATGTTACTCTACGAAATATGTTGAGCAATATGTTGGCTGGGATTTTCAAGGGAGTTAGGGGTTCATACCACTTCAAATTTCAATAGGAACTGGATGTCAAACTCCCATAGGCACTGAAAATCCCAGTCATGAATCCTGATTTAGGATCCTAAATATGCACGCTGATTTTCAAAAGTGCTGAACACTTAGCAGCTCCCATTAACTGTGATGGGAGATACTGGTTGATCTGCACTTTGAAAAATCATACCACTTATTTAGGATCCTAAATTGGGATAGAAGCTTAACTTTAAGGCTCTTGTTTTTGAAAATCTTGGCTGTTATATTTTCATAGTTAAGGAATCCCTTGATTGAGCAGCTATAATTTACCATTAAAAAGAAAAATTCTCTCAGACAAAGGACTCCATGTCGTGTTTTGAAGGAAACATACTTAAACAACCATGGGCAACATTTTCAAAAACATAGCAATGTTAGGGGACTTACTTTTGAAAGAAAGTACAGTACATGCACATGTTTATTGTAAACAATGACCTTTCAGTGGCAACCGTGATTTACCAGTTTTTGACAGACCATTTTAAAAACTGACTTTGGAGAAACAAATTACCCAGTGATCAGAACACAAGCTTGGCTTAAAACAAAACGGTCAAAGGGTAACATTTTCACCGCTGCCTAATTGATTTAGGAGCGTAAGTCCCATTTTCAAAAGTGACTTACAATGGAATTAAGGGTTTGTCTACACAGAAAAGTTTTACCAGTTATATCAGTAGAATGACAGTAGTTAAAATAAGGTGCGACTCTAAACCAATATAGTTATACTGGTATAACTTTGCCTATTTAAATTCACACCTTATTTTAAACGGCCATAACTTTGCCATGCAGACAACCTTTTAGGTTCCTAAGAGCCTAATTTATTTCTGAAAATGGGGCTTAGGCTCATCACTTACTCAATATCTTTTTTCTACCTCACCAGTAATATTTGTAGAATTTAACGTCTGAAAAACAAAATGGCTTCTTTCAAAACACTATATCAAGAAATACTGGCAAAGTAATTCAGATACATAAGGGAAAAAAAAGACTACAGAGATCTACCCCAGGATTCCCACACTCAGTGTCAATGAAGACTGCGGTAACGTAAGAGGGAATATATTCAGAGTTTATGAAAAGAATTAGCCTTATCACCCAGGGCCATGAGCCAAAGGCCACTGAAATCAATAGGATTCCTTCTACTGATTTCAATGAGGTTCCCAGTGCCTTCTGGAAGTCATAGGCTTGGGAGTAAGAGTAGAAACTCATAGAAAGTAAGTGGTGATGGCACAAGAAAAATCCAAGAATCTGGCTTGAACTAGATGATAGGTCAAGTACTGCAAGGGAAAGTCAGCACCGATACACAGGAAAAACACCAATGAGTGACTGCAAGACATTTAGTCACTGCACCTTGTGTATTATTTAAGAGAAAATACTTCATGAAATAGATTTTTCCACACACTACGTACAAAGGGGTTTTCACTGGCTTCCTCTCAACTTCTTCAATTAACTTGAATAAGCTGGTAGAAGAACTTGCTGGAATTTGATGGTTTTTGACTCCAGCCCAGATCTCCAAAAGTCGACCATTCTCATCTTCCCATCAAAAGAGCAACAGGAAAAAGAAAATTAAAATTTCATAACTGTGTAGTAAAAAACTGAAATATTTGTTGCAACTGCACAATATCATCTTACAAGTTTATGCAAAATTTCAGAATCATCCACCTAGTAAAAACACTCTCATCATACTTGTTAGCAAGGGTGATAATAAAAGCTATTGTTTTGTCCAACAGACTGGTGGTCAGTGGTTTTTAAAAAGAAAAATATATGATGAAGGAAGAAGAAAATATTTTTAAAAATTAAGATTTAAATGTAAGAAAATCTCTAGGAAATCAGGATCTACTTGAGAGAATAATCCAGTGTTATTTTCTTGCTTCTCTTTCATTGAAGCTGTTTCAGTCATGATCTAATAATATGTTTGATTAATACCCCATTAATATTTTTTGCTCATTCACTTCATTTGTTAATCCTTAGCCTTATATTGTTTATTTGGCAATGCACTCAAAATGGTGTGTCCTTCCATCTCTCAGATGCTGAGTTTGTTCTTTCAGTATTGTAGTTTCATTTTGTGATGTGTTGATAATAATTGTAATAAAGTTTTCTTCCGACAGAAAAAAATAGATAGTCTGGTAAAAACTAGGGCCAAATTCTGTGCTGGCTTAATTCCATAGAAGTTGAAGCCAAATACGAGTCCAGGGGCAAGGTGAGGAAAATTATACTTTCCGTAGTTCAGCATCCAAAGAAAGCAGATTGCAAAAAGTAATGATCAGAGGAACCCCAGCAGTCGCTGAATCCCTTGCAAAATTTCAAAGAAAAGTTAGCAAACATGCTTAATTCTGCAGAGGCCTTAGGTACTCAAAGTTTCCAACCCTCGTGTAGATGAAGCTTGCCAAGAGTCTTCTTTTACTACGCCACGCAAACAACAGAGCTAAAACTGTCATTTGTACTTTCAGTTGGGAGATCACAACCTGAAAGCCAGCTTGTCTTCTCAGCAGGCTGGAACAGTAGTAAAGGCAAATATGGGGAATAAATATCTCAGTTTCCTGGAACATTTTCTATTCAAGTTGTGAGAAAAAGAACAAAGACATACTTTAACCTTTCCAGAGGATTCATTTTAAATAACCTCCTCTGATTTGTATTTTTGAAAAGCTGTAGCAAAGCTGTCATATTTTCTGAAATACTTATCTAGATACATTCATTTAACTCCACAATGCTGTGGATAGCCTTGACTTCCACAGAAATAATTTTAAATAGAAGGTTACAAAGACCAAGTGAGTTTTAACTGTCAACAGGAAGGTTTTCTGTTCTGAATACAGAATTTAAATGAATGCATTGATTGTGAAAGGGCATAGATTGACAGCACTAGAAAATGACGTCTTCTCTCTCTCCAAACAACAAGTACAGTACAAACTTTATCCCTTCCAATTTATCCTAACACTGACCTGGAGAGAACCCTTCTAGGGTTGAGAGGAGAGTTTTGTCTCTATTCAATCCCTTATCTTTCTACTAAGACTGTCAACAAAGAGACCAGTTAATGTTCTCTAAATATGAGACTGAGACCATCAACTCATGTACACAGGCCACAAACAAGCTGTCAGATGCTTATAAATTTTGGTCATTAATGACCTGGATTTAACTGCGAAAAATTGTATCCCATTATTATCTTCTTAACACAACAGGCCCACATTGTAAATGACTTTCCACTTTGAGATTTTGAAATAAGACTAGCAAATTATGTGCATATATAATATTAAGTATGGAATTCAGAAATGAAGTAAAATTCATAAATTTTTAGGGACATTGATAGATCAAAAAAACCTAGCAAACACTTCATTTCTTGAGATGCTACCAATATGATAACATTTCCTATGGCATTGATTACTTACATATAATTGTTTTCTGCAAGTAGGATGTGTGTAGATCCTGTGTATACATGTGTGTACATCTGTACCTTTGGGTCATGTGCAATGACTTCTGTGGCAAGACATCACACACCCCAAAGATTCCACAAACCATTTCCTTTTAGGAGGCAGCCACATACCTGAGCGGTACAAGGCAAAATTATAGGCCTCATAAAAGACCTTGAACAAAAATTATCATAACTGTAAAAGGACATTTTAATTTAATGTCATGTTTTGGTATTTTCATTCTCTATTTATAATTGTGAAACATTTTTTATGGCAGAAAATATCTGTAAACATGTTCTTACATTCAGAAACCTCTCCTCCTTCATTCTGTAGCTGGACATGAAGGGTGATAGCAGACCCTTGGATTACATCAATAACTTCCGGGCCCAAAATTACCATCTTCTTTGCTTGAGCTGCAACATTAAATATATTTGAGTTCTTCTCTTATTAGTAGACTTAAAGTGCTCCCCCTCTTTCAAAGAACCTTTGCTCTGGAGCATCTTTTATGATTTTATCTCCCAAACAGATTGATGAATTGATGGTAGTAGACCTTAGGCATCAATAGCCTTACAAATTGCTTATACTTTCATTCTAGATCTTCTTCTCATTGATGGTTGGTAAAAGATGAGCCATTATTTAAGCAATCCCTTTAGTGGAAATAGGCCTAACAAAATGTGCAGAAACAGGGTGGGGGTGTTTTAGGTGTGTGTGTAATCTAACTCCTATTGAAGTCAACGGGAGTCTCTCTCCATTTGTTTCCACAGGATGTGGATCAGGATCGTAGTGATCAGGAGAAGGATACCTTGATTCCCAACAGCCACAACTTCAGATCCCAGAGAGGTTAATTTAGCACTTCATCCTTCAGAAATAGATGCACTGAGTTTCATTAAATTTACTGTGTGTGATAATTTCAGATGAGAACTTTCAGATTAAATGGTTTTATCTTTTGTCTTAAGTCAAAATTTCCCTTCCACACCTTCACTGAAGTATGCTTTGTACCACTGACTGTATCCTTCCATCACAGAGATTGCTGCATTTTACTAATGTTGTTTATATATCAGGTGTGAAAAATTTTGGGGATTATGTGTAAAATACAATTAGAAAGCAGAGGTATGATTTTTGCACTAGTGAACAAATATGTAGGTGGATCAGATATCAATCTGCAAACTGGAATGACAGTTGTCTAGGCTCTATTTTGTTTACAATGCTTGTTATGAGAATGTATCTTAGGGGACAACTCTCCACCAGGAGGGGAATAGGCTAGTTGACCTTTGTTGCTCTTTTCTAGCTCTGATTTTTAGCAGTGGATTAACCTTGTCTCAGTTTCAGATTCTTCGAAAAGTGAACAATATTAATGTCCATTTCACAGAGTCAAGGAATTAAACCAATCCTTTTCCATCTTACATGCGCCCAGGATTACCCTGACTAGAGGTATTAAAATGTATAATTATGTGAAAGGGCCATGTGTACTATTTTTTCCTATCTATACACATAACTAAACATTTCATCGAAGCTTCTATCATCTCAGGTCTTGATTACTGCAACATCCTTCTCTCTGGCCCTGACAAATGCAACCTTGCCCTGCTCAGATACATTCAGAATGGTGCTGCAAAAATCACTTTCCCACCATGGTGCTTTGATGGTCTCCCCTCTCGTTGCATCCTTCCACTGGCTCTCTCATCTCTTTGGCATCAAACATGAGCTACTTTTCTTCACTTTCAGTGTCCTTCATAGCCTATCCCCACCCTGCCTATCATCTCTCATTCACTACCAAGATGTCAACTCCTGCCTCTGATTGGCACTGTACCAGTTGTCATAATTCACTTGTTAGATTTTCTAACAAGCAGCTTAATGCTTTGTCCCATACCATCTCTCATGTATGGGAGGCACCCCCCATAAGCATCTACAAAACTAACTCATTATTCCCCTTCAAAATTCTCCTTAAAAAACTCTCCTTTTCCAGGATGCCTACAAAAAACTTGACAACATTAGCCTGCCGGTGTGCAGAGGCAATCGTGCTGACCAATACTGCCTCATATTTTCCTTAAACTTCCTCTTCTTCTGTTACCTATGTGTTGCCTCTTATCTTATCCTTGGACTGTAAAGTTTTTGTGGCAGGGACTGTCTTTTTGTTCTGTCTTTGTACAGTGCCTAGGACACTGGAGTCTGCTCCATGACTAGGATTCTTAGGCAGTATGGTAATACAAACAATAATAATTCTACAAATTACAGTACCCTCCTTATTCTCTTCCACTAACTGATTTCAGATTTCTTTCATGCTGCCCCCCACACATGGAACATCTTCCCCAAACAGCTCCAATAGGTCACTAAATTTTCCTCTTCAAATCCTCTCTTAAAACCTACTTCTTGTATGATATTTACAACTAATACCAGAAGGGTTGAGGAGCAGTCAAGCATAGATGATGTGTACCTTTGAAAATGCTGAGAAGACAAAGGCTGGATGAGTAATCAAAGGGGATTCCAAGGTGCTGTAACTATGCTTCACATAAGAGATTATTTCCTCTACCCTAGACCTTCTCCCCTTTCCATTGCAAAATGAGTCATGGAGATAATTCTGAAACTCTTTCTAGAGGTCTGACACCATGAGCCATGTGCATCTCCTGTGCCATATCCAGTCTTCAGCTAGAAGAGGAGGTAGCCTGACTCATGGCCTTTGAAAGAGAAAAATCAAGAAATTCTAGGGGTCTTCTCTTCCCAAACAGCTCTTCTAATTTCATCGTCCATCCAGCCCTAACATTCTATTAGGTTTTCAGCAAATAAATCCTCTTACATATTGCAACAACCATTTCCAGTTTGGAAACCATGATACATTATGTTATAAAAGCTACCAGAATTTATTGGAAATATAGTACATGATCTTCCAGTTAATTTTTATCTAGGGCGGTTTGTGAAACCATATAGAAAGCAGCTAGGAATATACTGAATAATTAACTGTGGAAGAGATGAATTTCAAGTTGTGACCTCTGCTTTCTGAGCAGGACAATTTAATACTTGTTTTTTTAAACTCATTATATTGTTATTTTTGTGAATAAGGTAATGGCCTTTAACTCCAAAAATGTATGTGTGATTTGCTTTAAAATGAAAAGAACACATTATTCTTCAAAAAAGGTTCCAAAGTAACATTTTATACTTCACTGTGGTTCTACATTTAATTTGAATTAATAGCTTCCCCCCGACACACAAATGTGCCACTCAAACAGCTACCGCTTTCACTCTTATGAACTACATGTTCCAGGCAAACTGAGTGCACAGAGGAGGCTAACACTATAGCCAGATCATATTAATCAACAGAGAGACAGCCAAAGTATTATGTTGAAGTCTTGTTAATAACTGGACAGCATAATGAATGAACGTACCAGCAGGGTAGCCATTGATCCACAGTCCATCATAGATGACACCAGAACAATGAATTTTAGTGCCCTGGCCATTGAACACATCATTTCTCCACTGTCCCTTCAAATAGAAACACATTGATTTCAAATTTGCAACACAGGCTACTTTATATCGAAGGGATTATTTCAGAGGGTTCTCAATAGCAGAGTGGGTGGCCCTCAAGGTTCTTTATAAGTACCCTTCCAACAGTTGTGTGAACATGTTGAATGGGCGACCACACAACAATCAAGGATTACGTGACACTCCGCAGTACACCCTCTAAAGAAAAAGAGGAATCAAGTATTTCTTGCCAAAGGTTTGTTACAGTGGGGCGCTATTATCAGAGGTGCTTCTGAGAAGAAATTACACTGCACTTAAATGCAGAGAATGAGTTACCACTTGGCACATGCAGAATGATGCACCATTTCCTATACAGATTGTGAAGAGTGACACCCTTGGACAAATTCAGTCCCAAAGATTTCAATGACTTACACCACTGCTGAATTTGACCCAAGATATATAATATTATACACATAAAGAAAATTGTGTTTGCAAAATCAAGCGCTCAAAAGTTAGGGAATGCCAGAATTGAGCTGCTGTGCAACCATAATTGGGCCCCTGGTGTGAATGCCTTATTATAAAATCTTTAATTGCAAGACCAGATATTATTTTTCCCACAGGACCTTGGTCTCTTTCAGCGACTGGAACCTTGAGAGCCACAGCACAGAGTAACAGTATTAGGTTGTCATCTTCTGTGTGGACCAGCCCTAGATGGGTATGAGAGACAGACACCCTTTTCTAGTGGGTTTCACAGCTATTTGCGGACAACAGAAGAATGGTGAGACAGTCATAAGCGGGGGAGCAGGAACTCACACTTGCAACACACAAAGACAACCAAAAGTTCAAGTGTGGGAAGTGAAGTGGTACTTCTATAATATTTGCCAATAGCTATATGTAGCATTAAAAAAAAAACGAGAAAGTATGTGTTTCAGGCTCTCTCTTGCTCCATGGCACTGATTCCTTAAATTTCACAGGGTGTTAGGAGCTGGAGAATAAAAGTGTTTTAAATTTCTCATGTGATCTCATTTCTGCTATGCTGATCCACTGCAAATTAAAATTTATTTTATGGTAGGTTGTTCAATTTCTGGCTCTGCTGTATGATAAATGGAGGCTGCACAAAACAATGTGCTTCTATAACTCTAAATTTGTCTAAACCACCTTCAAATTCCAGATGGATTTAGAGGTTAGAATTCTTCCACTCTTTCCACCTTTAGTAATTAGTATCCAAATTAGAGAACAAGGGCGAGTGAGCACAGGCAGTTAAAAACAGTTCTGCAGAAACATGTTTCTGCAGCAACTCGCTTTATTCTAGTTTTCCCATCATTATTTTAAAGCATTCCATGGAAATAATTTGAAAACGATTTGCTTCAGAGTATAATTGTTAGAAAGCATGGAGTGAAAGTTTCCTGATGGACCGGATGGCAGGCTCTTCTCTTGTCCCATCCTGTTAGCAGGTGCTGAAACCCTGCAGGGCGATGCCAGCTTATTTTTGTTGATTTGTTGGTGGCAGGTGCAACTCATTAACTCCATTTGGGACAGAGAGGTGGGAGTAGCTCTTTGAGCAAAGAACTGGCTTTTAGGACAGAGAAATTTCGGAGGAGAAACTACAGGGATAGTCATTCTTGGAAAGAAAGCTTAAGTTTATATATTTGTTAATATTAGCTGAGTTACCAAGCACTACAGATATCAGAAAGGAAGTACATTTGGACTAAACATGGTCTATGTATATAAACTGTATGTATATTTCTGTATAGAGCAAGGTAAACAAAATGCAGTTATTAGAGCTGTAGTTCTGGGCCTGATTCTGATTCCTTACTCACACCGAGTAACACCTTATTTCACAAGTAGTCCCACTGAAATCAGTGGGACTATTTATGCAGTAAAGTACTATAGAACATGAGTTACAATGTGACCCTTTGCTTTTGTATAACCAGTGCCTCTCTTCATATGGTTAAAATAAGCAGCTCAAAGAAAAGATGTAGCAATCATTTAAAAATGCTGAATATGCCCCACACCAAAAAATATACTTCTTAGCATGACAACACTTAAAATGGTGCTCACGCTTCTAACCATTCACTAATACTTAGTATGAAAGATACCATACAGAAGTGAATTCAATCTCTGAAGCGGTACTGGGGAAACCCAGTAACTTCAGCACTGCTATGTTACTTTCAGGAGAGTAAAAGACCATGATTAACAGAAAAGCAAGGAAACAAGTGGCAGCTCAATAATGACAGAGGCCTGTGGGAATTTGGCACTGATTCAGATTTAGTGTTTAGCCTTCAGAGGGAAAAATTATTATTATTGCAATATAAATGTATAGAAGAATAAGTCATTTTAATTATAAAAGTATGTGGGGCGGGGGGGGGGGGGTGAGATAATACTATGCAGTGGACTCTTCTGAAAAAATCCCACCATTTCTATCAGCAGTGTAGTTCCACCCAAGGTAGTGATGGTGGTAACTAATGTAATCACACTACAAGCAGGCATTGCCATTTTTGCAATGGTGTCACCTACACCTGCTCTGAGGAAGGTTGGATAACACCGCCATTAAAATGTCAGCCAGCCAGCCACTCCATGCTAGACTAATGTAGCTGCTACTACCAGCAGAGTGGAACTGGTGATAGCAATGGTGGGAAATCTGAAGTTTAAGAGGTTTCACAATAACTAGAAACTAATCGGTTTACTGTGATGTACTGAAATAATAGGAGACTTTTATCTTACTTTACTACATGCAAGTGTGCCATCGTGATGGGGTGTTTATAGCACACATGCTGGGAAAGAGCTAATATGAGAAACCAATTAACCTTCCTGCTCACACCTGAAGGGTGGGCTAGGCCAAATTAGAGATAGAGCCCAGCTGGGGGAGAACAGGGCTTGTTTCCATAAAGATCTGGGTGAGGCCAGCTGGGGAGAGGGAGTAGAGAGTTCTTCCCTCTGTCTAGTATGCACCTGAAAGAAGGTTGAGAAAGGCAGCAGAGCAGTCATGCTACTCCAAGGGTAAGCTAGAAGCCTGACTGGAGACTTGGGCCCTGAGGAGACATAACTGGCTTCAACCCCTAAGAGAGAGAATGAGTGTGCCAGTCCCTGGAGAGTGGCGTTGTTGATGGTATAGGAGCTAGAGACAAGGCATGGGGGACAAACTGTAGCAGATGAGGTACACATATGAGGAAGAGGTGGACAACTGAGCCCAGCTTGTTTGAAGGCTTGATTTTGTTTACATTTCTTTTGGACTTTGGTAGAGGACTCTGGCCTGGAAAGGGGCATGACTTGGCAAAATGGTCTGGCTGGAAGGCTTGGACAATCTTATGGCTGAAGTAGACCAAAGGATAGTATGGGGACACTGAGACATCCAGGAGGGAGTGTGTTGGGGCAGCAACTTTGCCACAGCCATAGAGTTCTACTGTATATGCCTCTTTTTCCATCAGCTACCAACAAGCAAGATTTTAACACTTACAAAAAAAAAAGACAGTGAAAGTAGCAGGATATGTAATTGTTCTTATGGTCCATCATCCTCATCCATAAAAGGTGCCTGCCCACCTTCTACCAATGGTCACAAGTGCTCTCTGTTTGGGTTACTCCCTCTGCTATGTAATTAAGCCATCTCTTTCTTTGAATTTGCCTTCAGCCTCTCTTTGGCACACTTCCTTGTGTCATCCTCTCTTCCAGATGGCATAAGGATGAGGGATAAGTGTTGCTAAAAGTTGCTTAGCAATGCAACACATGCAAGGTTTGGAAATGCTGACGTTCACAGAAGCGCCATCCACACGTCACGTGTTGATAAGGACAGCCAAGAGCGTGAACAGCCGGAGCCACAGAAGGGCCCTGAGGAAAACAGCCACCAGCCAGCCAGCAAGAGAAGGGAGGAAGAGGCAGAAAAAAAAAAAAAACCAACCAACCACAAGTTTCCAGATGGGGGCTATATTGTGTGTGGTTTTTTTTGTTGCCTTTTCGTTTTAAGTAAAACTCACCATTCATTGATCTCAATAGGTAGCTCTGCTTTTTAATTTTTTTATTAATAAAAATAATTTTAAAAATTAATTTAAATAAGGCCATTTTTGGTACCATTTCCATCAGTCAGCGGAGACCAAAAAATAAACCAAATAGTTCCTGGTTAAGAGTAAATGATCACCAGGGAGGTTATTTCTCAGTTAACTATCAGATGAAGAAGGGCCCTTATCCTACTCAGTCAGTAGTAACCAGAATTACAATCTGATATTTTTATAAAGTTCAAGTTGAATGTATTCACATGAAATCTATTTTAAATGCAAGTAACAAATGTTTGATAAGTAGATAAGAACATTTAGCACCTGTACAGAGTAACATTTCCACAGCACCATGTTATAACATTAATTAATCCTCACAACATCCTTGTGAAAGAGGTATCACCCCCATTTTACAAATAGGGAAACTGAGACATAGAGAGGTTAAGAGATCTGCCCTAGCACACCACAACTCAGAAATAGCTAGTTCCCATTCAACAAAACTTAAACAATAGCAGAATAATTACAAAAAGCACTAATGCAATCTACTTGGGGCAGTTGAAAGTTATACAATTTCTTCACTGACAGCACATTTTGATTAATGTGCAGATTTCTGTTTTGATCTAGGAATTTTTTTATTTTTGATACTAATTCTTTTCTGCACTGGTGGGTGACGGAAAGGTATCTGCTTATGAATAAAGAAAAGGTGTTTTCAATGAATCTCAAGAAACAAGTACGTTTTTTATTTCAGGAAGCAATTTCCAGTTAATTGATGGTGTTTCCATTTCTAAATGAGTAGCTATTATACTATTATTATAATTAATTTTGGTTACTTCAGTCTCATCTTGTATGCTATTGTCAGTATATTATTTCCATATGACCTAATTTGATTGATAAAAGCCCAAACATCTCCATTATCAAGCTTCAATCCATTGAGACATTTTCATTTGTATAGGAGTTTTCTTATTTAGTCGGCTAATATTACTTTTGTCCTTCAAACAATGACTGAAGGATGCATTGCTTTAAAGGATTCTGTCA